GGCTTCCTGCTCATTGGGGAGCCTGCTTCTCCCTCTCCCCCTGCCCCATCCCCATCCCCATCCCCCTGCCCATGGGTGTTCTCTCTCTCTCAAATAAATAAATAAAATATTTAGGGGGAAAAATAATAATTGGCAGACGGAGCAACAATGTTAACGTGACCTGTCAAATTTCTTCTAGAACAGTGGTTCTCACTGGGGGCAATGCTGCCCCCCTCAGGGGACACTTGGCAATATCAGCAGACACCTGCCGTTGGCACCTCTGGCTTGAGTGGAAGGGTGCTCTTGACATCTAGTGGATTAGGGATGCTCCTAAACATTCTACAATGCACAAGACAGCTCCCTATAACAGAATTATCTGGCCCAAATTATCAATAGTGCCGAGGAGAAACCCCATTCTAAAGGATAAGGTGGACAGAGGGTACAATAAGAAACAGCCACTGTTTCTTATTCAGCCAAGAGGGAAAGAGGAGACCTGGAGATGGTGGACCTTCTCAAATTACTGTTCTGCCACTATTCACGCGCCGGGTGATGCTCACACACTCAGAGGATTCGGAACTCTGCATCTTTCCTTCTCATTCCTCAGAGTGAGAAGGATGCTATTCCTGGAAACTTGAATTTGACCCAACGGATATACGTAAAGGAAATCATTTACAAACTTCAATACTTGATTAGTGACAAAGGTGCCTGTGATCACAGCTGATCAAAGCATGCAGCTATGCAACAGTGAAGTGCAGAATCATGGCCTCGGGCGCTGCAGAAGGGGAGAAAGATAGCTCTCCACTTCTAGCAAAATCAGTCACCTTTCAATATAGGTAGAAACACATGGAAAAGCAAGTCCTCCCACCAAGAAAACCAAGAGTCATTGATCCTCCACAACTTTCACTGCTGTCCTCCAGGATAGAAAACATTCCCCGGGGGAACCAATCCAATCTGCCATCACTTTTTAAATTAAAGTCCCACTATCCGGCCAAGTTTAGAGAATACAGAGTCTTTAACATGTAAAATGTAAAAACAGGCCAAAGACACGCTTAAAGCCCAATATTTGTTGAAGGCGAGGGTATCAAAATACATTCTCCCCAGGCTGAAAAAGGAAAATAAAATTCTTTTTTTCGGATAGTGTCTTTTTGCTGCTTTCACTCTCATTTCTACCGGCATCTTCAAGGGCTCACCTTTGTCTCATTAGCGCTGCCCCCACGACAACAGTTCAGCAATTGAAGGCAGCTATTTGGAAGCAGAGCACAAGCACCAAACACAGGAGCCAAGCTGAACTTCACAAATTGGAGAATCTGCCCTCTCTTTGGTTTTCAATTGAAGAAATGAGATTTCATTACAAAGACAATGCTTGGAAAAGTGCTTGGGCAGGAAACAGCACTCCCAGCATGGGGTCCCATCCATTCAACGGTGCAGCTGGGAAGGGATTTAGGACTTTGCGATACATCTGGATTAAAGGGATCTTTACAGAGAATTGTGTCTGCATAGTGTATTTCTGGAAGGGTGCAGGGGAAGCTGGCACCTCTGGGGAGGTGAAGTGGGTGTCAAGGGAGCAGAGGAGGAAGAGAAAGTCATTGCTCACAGTATGCTTTGAATTCTGAAGCAGGTACATGTATTACCTACTCATAAAATAATAATAATCTAGAAAATGAATGAAAATTACTTACACACACACACAAAACAAATGAATGACATAAAACCCACTCCCTCAAAAAAGATTCTGTTAAAAAAAAAACCAAGTTAGTGAATCCCATGTTTTCATCCTCTGACTTAAGCCTCCTCTTGTCTGGGTAGTCATGGGAGTCATGGAAGAAGAAAACACTCACATCTATAGCGGGAGCTTTATATTCACTTCTGAACTCCTGACACTTATTTCCAACTATCAGGCGCTTCTCTGGAGGCTCCACCCATGAGCACCTCAAAGACAACATGTCCCAAACCCAAATCCTCCTCTTCTCTCCCTCCTTCGTACCTACTTCCCTCCAAGCCTGATCCTGCTCCAATATTCTCAGTCATTATTAGAAAAAAAACAACCATTCAGCTTCCCAATCTAAAAACCTTACTGTGACCTTGAGGACCCTCTCCTCACCCTCTTTATAGCCACCAAATATTGTTAATTCCATCATGATGGTGTTTTGCAAAGAGATGACCTCTTGTCCTATCCCACGGACCCTTTCTAGTTCAAGGAATTATAAACTACATTCCTTCACTGGAATGGGAGCTCCTGCTGGTTTTCCAGCTACTTCATTCTTTACACTTCCCCAGCCCCCACCCCCATCATCTTTCTCAAACACAATTACCTGATCATGCTTCAGAACCTTGGATAGCTCCCTATTGTCTACAGATTTTAGCCCAAATGTCCTAGTTTGACAAATGATCATTTACACTGTGGCCTGAAAAAAAAAATCCCATCCCTAACACATACCCTATGCTCTGGCCACTTGGTGTAACAAGCTTTGCTCATTTATGCCTCTTAGGAGCTTCCACAACTTCGCACTTGCTGTTTCCTTGACTTGAACGCTTTCCCCTCCCTCTCCGCCTTGCCTTGGACAAAAACAATTTCCTATTCCCCCTTCCAAATGCCCCACTCAGTTTATACCCTCTCTGAAAAGCCTTTTAGGACTGCTCCCTCCTCTGTACTCCTCTAACACTTTGTACACACCCTCATCATCGCCCCAACCACACTCTTTCATAATTATTTATGTTTCTATCTCCCCTGCCAGAATGTGAGCTGCTTTAAGAAACAGCTGCTATATTTTATTCATCTTTGAATCCACTGCACCCCCTTGCTAACACTGCACATAAATGTTTGCTGAATGAATTGGCTGAAAGTACTTTGGTAAAAATGTAACACATTATCCCAAAATTTTATAGACTTCTGTGTCTAAAATCTCATTTCTTTGCCCTCTCTCTCTCTGCATACCCTTGGCACACTATCAGGTCTCAGGGGGACCAGTTATTCAAAAGGAACTAACAAAGTGCCTGCTATTTGTAAACAGGGCCATTTGTAAACCCTCTGGGCTAGATTTAGAGATTGCCTTTCTAACTCTGACAATGCTCTTTTGAGTACTCACTCCACTTTAAGAAGCATTTCTTTTCCAAATACCTTGAGTCCTATAAGTAACCTTTGTTTACCCTGAAAACACTTTCAGGGAAGCTGAAAGGAGCTAAAAGGCAATATAGTGACCCTGCTGGGACCTACCTGGTCAGTGAGCCAGCCTCCAGCCACCTAAGAGGAGGAGTGGAGCTTCAGAGACTCAGCTCAAATCCCTGCCTACTTCCACCAACAACAACTACACAAGTGCTTTAACCTCCAAGGACTCTCTGCTCCCCAGTGAAGATCATGGCAGTCCATTAATCACAAGATGATTCTAGTAAGCATCACAAGCAAAATGATAACCCCAGTGTCCTGAAGAACAGTGGGTAACAAATTTGGGTAAGATGAGGGGTAGACACTCATTCAAATGGAGCCCAAGGGGACAGAGACCCAGTGATAACTCCCAGCCTTGGGGTCTTTGGCTCTTGCTCTTTTCTCTCTATCGGGAATGTTCTACCAGGAGATATTTGCATTTAGGTCTCTGCTTGAATGTGACCTCCCAAGAGGCTTCCCTGATGACTCAATCCAAAAGAGCACCGTCCATTACTGGCCATCTATCTCCTCACCCTGCTTTATTTGTCTTTCCAGCACTTTGAGCACATCATAGCACTTGTACCTGATACCATATTGCCTATGTGTTTGTATGCTGACCATTGTCCCCCACCCCCACTCATTCACCCTAGAGAGCAGGGACCTTGTCTTGTTCCTAGACCATCCAAGCACACAGTAATCTCCCCATAAATGTTTATTCATTTTTTTTAAAAAGGGTACAAAGAAATATTCAAGTAGTTGACAATTTCGGCAAAGATGTAAGACCCAAGTTAAAATGTTAAAAGCCAGCAAGGCTAAATACATGTAATAGATGGATGATAAGGAAAGTAAATGACAGATTTGCTGAGGAAGGAGTGATTGTGCATGGGGATGGCAAGAGAATGTTTCCCAGAGAAGATGGGATTCCTGTCTGTCTCAAAGGCACTGGAAAATTCAGTTAAGTTTGAGAAAACAGGCCAGTGTTTCACCCTGGAAGACTCTACAACCCATGTGTGATAAGGCCAAATGATTAACACGTGAGGGTTCACAGCTTACCCAACTCTTGGCCACCCACTATCCAGTAGAGAAATGATAAAAGCCCCAAAGGTAGATTCTCTCAAGGAAAGCTGACAGAGTCAAAGAAGAATCACAAACCCCATATACATCGAGAGGTGGTGGGTAGGACTGGAGGAGTGTTCAAGAAACGAAGACAGCAGGAAGAGCACAGCACAACGTTCTGAGTTTTGGGGGGTGATGAAAAACACTAAGGGAGAAGGAATCTGTCATGAGCGTTACTAAGCCTTTTCGCGTGTGCATGAACGTCCTTAATGAGGAGGAGCCTCCTCACGAGACAGGTGCATGAGTCCTGACTGTGTCGACGTTGACTTATCCCTTTGTGCTTGCATCTCCTCATCAGTAAAACCGGAAATAATAACCTACACCATGGGATCACTGTGGGGATTAAATGAGTTGATGAGAGCCACACCCGGCATGTCAGGATTGTCCTTATTATTAGAATTTTGAGCCCTGCTTCTTTCAATGCAACTTTGACCTAATAATGGTCTCTATGGAACATGGCTTTATACAAATTACACATTTTAAGGAGTAATATCATCAACAGCCTGGCCAAAGTGAAAGGGTCAGTGTTGGGATAAACTTAGAGAGGCAAACTGAAGTGAGACTACTGGAGACCCTACAACCCCAGCTGATGAATCCAATCTTTCAGTAACCATTGGCTTCTTTAGGTGAGCAGGGTGGCCCTCAGATGAAATTACTTTGCAGGTAAAAGAGGGCCTGAGCAACTTTCCAAGTAAAGTGAGCATGGACCACTTGACAGAGTGGTGGTCCCCATCCAGCCTAGGAATGCAATGTGGGTACTCACGGTTCCGGAGTGTAGAGGGGGTCTGAGCCATGTCGGACGTACTGAGTACAGTGGAACACTCTGTAGGCCAGTCCCGCCAGAAAGTCTCTCGGACTCAGGTATCCAGCCACCGGCCTCACGGTGAAGCCTGATCTTTCTGAAATGACAGAAAGAGCCAACTAAATATTAACTCGACAAGACTTGAGGGCCCAAGCAGGGCGTCCTATTATTTATAAGGACATTCTAGAAACAAAGTAATCAAGGTCTTAAAATTCTTGACAATTGAATGACATCTACTGTTAATAGCTATCACGTTTGTGGCTTCTGATTACTAAAATATACTCCCGCATGATGGTTTCCAGGGGAACAAGACATTCATTAAAATGGAAAGACAGGTGAAAAAAAAAATGTTAAAGATTTAAATTCAGAAGCCAAATTAGGATAAGAAAGCTCAAATTCGCGGGACAAGATTACAGTGAAAGCGAGGCTTACCGCATATTACCTGGTATCTTTCTCAAAGACACACCCTTTCCCCCTGTATGTGTTCAGTTAACACACAGCTAATTCACCCCCGTCACTAGCCTGGTGGAACCAGTTCACACTACAGCTTTCTATTGTCAACACCCCTACCTCCTTCATTCCATATTACTGTTTTCTGTGATACTATGAAAAGAATCATATTAATTACTGTCATTTGAAGAGGTACACTAAAGCTCTACCTACTCTATTCACTTATGAGAGGAGGAGACAAAATAAACAGAATACAACATCATCTACGAAGCTGCCGGGTACCGCTGACCCAGTTAGGCTGTGGGTCATCAGTGTTCTCCGTTTAAGGGCTCCCCAAGGCTTGTTTGTGGTGATGGCCCCGCAAATTTACAACAGGAGAGCTACCCCTGGCTCTGACACCAGCATCGTACAGGCTCCCATTCCTGAAAACCTCATCTCATTAGGAGAGCCTAACCTCAGAATGGTTAGAATGGTTTTAAAAGGCAAGAACCAATTAAGCTTATAAATCCCATTCTGGGATTTCTGGTATATACGTGAAAAATATTCCTGTTCTCAGGCCTCCTCAGACCCATAATTCTAACAATATTATGTTCATCCTAAAAGCTTTCACTTTGGATTGTTCCCCACTGAATATCAAAAAGATAAGTGTATTTTCTTCTTTTTCTATTTTATGTCAATTAAACCAGTATATCCCACGTGTGGAACCCGAGTGGTGGTACACAGAGGAATGTTCTTTATTTGAAGTTATGTATCTTATTTTTATATAAATTTTTTAAAAATATGTAACTAACACATCAAGAACTTTGAATTTGTGGATATCACTGCTTTAAAATTTTCCTTTTTAAATAAATCAGGTATTTAAAAGTGAGTCGGTTAAAAAATAATAAAATAAAATACTAAAAAAAACCACATACATTTACATTATGCTTGCTATGTGCCAATGAATGATGCAGACTGATCACCCAGTGTCCAATTCACAGGAGTCTTGAAAAATAACAGCAAGAACAATAGCAAGAATAATTAAGACTCTGCTATGCTTAACATGTATCAAGAAATAAATTTAGAGGCGCCTGGGTGACTCAGTCAGTGGAGCCTCCAACTCTTGGTTTGGGCTCAAGTCATGATACCGAGCCCTGCCTCAGTCTCCAAGCTCTACAAGGAATCTGCTTGAGATTCTCTCCCTCTGCCCTTCTTCCATCTCCTTGCGCACACACGCTCTCGCGCTCTCTCTCAATAAATAAATAAAATATTTTTTAAAAAAAAGAAAGAAAGAAAGAAATAGGGGCACCTGCGTGTCTCAGTTAAGCGTCTGCCTTCAGCTTGGGTAATGATCCCAGCGTCCTGGGATCCAGCCCCCCGTCAGGCCCCCTGCTCAGCTGGAAGTCTGCTCCTCCCTCTCCCTCTGCCTGCCGCCCCCCTTGCTTGTGCTCGCTCTCTCTCTGTCAAATAAATAAATAAAATCTTTAAAAAATAAAAAATTTTAAAAAGAAATAAAAAAAATTTTTCTAAAGAAATAACATTAGGGCTTCTAGGTATATCTGTATCAATTAGTTTCCCTTCCCAACTACCTTGTGAGGTAGATAAAATAACTATCTCTACTTGCAGAAAAGAAACTGAGGCACAGAGAGGTTAAGAGAACTTATCTGAGGTCACACAGCCAAGAACTGGCAGAGTGGGGACTCAGCCCAGGCATTCTGCAGCCAGAATCCGTGCTATACCATACGGCCTCTCATAAAAATATTAAGTTGGGCGACAGTTGTGGCAAAAATTATGGGATGGTATTCTAATTACTGGGGTTTGGGAAACAACGCAGTAAAAAGCAATTCCCACATATGAGCAATCAAGCTCATGGTAAATCTATATTATGCACATAACTGTTGGAAACAAACAGGGACATGCCAGAGGCAAGGCCTTTAGGGAGAACATAATCCAGTTAAACAACAACATAAGGCATTATGTAATTAGGCACTAATTAAGTGATACTGATTAGTGGTTCTCAGTCTTTTTCCCGTAGTAACAAATATCATGGATGACGTTCACACACGGGGCTCTCCCGTTGTGCTGGGCATGGTTCTCCGAGTACCTGCTCTCAGACCACGCCTACCTCGCCCCTGATACACACGTGATCTAGGATGAACTCCGAAAGGGAAAAGTCCTGGTGACTGTTAGGATCAGGATTCAGACAGGAGGCAGGACTTGCTCTGAGTCTTAAAGAATAGGTAGAATTTGATGAGTGGAGGAGAGAGGATTTTCCTAGCAAGGGACAAAACCTGAGCAAAGGTGTGGAGAGCCCACAGGTAGAACAGAGGGTTTGTATGGTGCAGTCATCACTCTACACAATCTCGGAAAGCCAGGTCGGGGCCTTGAGTTGAGGCTGAGCAGTTCAGAACTGGAGCATATAAACCAGAGATCAGCAAACCATGGCCCGTAGTCCAAGTCCAGCTTGTCCTGTACACCCCACGTGCTAAGAATAATTTTTATGTTTTTTTAATGGACACACTTAAACAGTTATCTAAGTACTGACAGAGAAGCCTCCATTTTGCCCACAAAAACGGAAATATTCACTATCTGGCCTTTACCAAAAAAAAAAAAAAGTCCAACCCCAGTAAAATCAAAGGGGAGCCACTGATAGCTTCTGAGCAGAGATGCCTGGAAGGGAGTGATGCTTTAGGAAGCTTCATTGGGAAACAGAGGACAAGAGAGTGGAGGGGAGAAAATACGGGCATCAAGGTTGTGAAATGAGGACCTCAGTTTGGGTGGTGGCAGTGGGTAGGCTCACGATGGGTAGCAAAGCTAGAAGTGGCCATTTGTGGGGCTGCAGCAAGGTGAGTCACAGCCTCCAAAGATGCCCCTGGCCTCACACCCTGAACCTGTGTCTATGCAGCAAAACGGGTTTTCCAGGATTTTCAGTGGAGCGATTACCCCAGATTACTCAGGTGGGTCTGAGATAATCACAAGGGTCCTGATAAAAGGACGACAGGAGGGTCAGAGTCAGAGAAGGAGATGTGACCAAGGAAGCAAGAGGTTGGAGCCATGTAAGGAAAAGGCCAGGAGCCAAGGAATGCAGGTAGACTCCAGAAGCTGAAAAAGGCAAAGAAACAGAAGCCTCCAGAAAGAATGCCGCCCAGCCAAGACCTCCCATCTGCAGCACAGTAAGGTAATACATTCGTCTTATTTAAGTCACTAAGTTTGTGGTGTTGTCTTAGAGCAGTAATAGGAAATTAATACAAAGATGGATTACATAGTGGGGAGAGTGGGGAGGAATTCAGAGGGGTTCCTTACAGGTGGGCCTGAGGAGTCTAGAGAATAACTGTCACCGATAGAAAGAGGGTAGGCAGGCAAGGAAGGGAGTTCCAAGAGAAGGCAGCAAGGCTTTTACTTTTACAACTGCTGCGCTTGAGACAGGGGGAGAGAAAAGAACGGAGAACCTGGGACGCAACCCCAGGGAAACTCAGAGGAGGGAGTGGGGCCCCCGTAAAACCTGGCCTCCTCCCGCCACCCCTACAAACTTCCCCAGTTGCTGTCCCAGGAGAGCCAGTGAGGAGAGTGACCACACAAGGACATGAACTTGAGCTGCCACTCTGTCTCATCTTGTTCCATACCGTATCAGCCATGAGTATAGCCCCGGCACATCACGTATATATAACAATATTTCTTTGATTAATTGACTGGTATCCCCCAAAGGAAAGTCACTAGTGTTCAGCATTATCCATGATACTTCTTCATGCAATATGTAATTTTTAACGAAGCAAATAAAATGTCACCTTTGAGGTCATTCCATCCCCATGTAGTCCCCACAGAGTAGTTCCTGGACCAGAAAGAGCTCAAAGCTGAACTTGCAAATATCCTTTGGGGTTTAACACCTAGAACAGCCAACCACGAGAGACCCCCCGAAGCCCCTGAGCGGTGTGAATGGCAGGGTCCCTCTCCCTGCCCACAGTCCCTGCTCTGCTTCCTGCAGGTGGCCCCGGGGAGTTGCTGGCTCAGTGCTCCTCTCTTTAAATCAAAGGGAGCTTTTCCTTTTTTGTAAAATGGGCCATTGCTGCCCCGTGTGTCCTTGGGAGGCAAGCAAGGGTGTTGGCTAGGAGGGCAAGAGACAGCCTGTGTGAAGCCTTACCTTTCAGAAACACGGAGACGTCTTCAAGTTGAGGCACGTTGTCCTCCCTGTAGCCACAGTATTTAGTCAGCAGAGGGAAGTTTTTCAAATACTCCCGGCAAGCATGAGTGGGATAGAGCTTGGAGAGCTCTCGGAACACGACGCCCCACGTCTTGGTCTCTTCCTCTGTGTACTCCACCCTGGGAATAGGCTGGCCGCTAAGCAGGAGAGAAGAGCAGTGAACGACTCTAGCTCTGGAACGGAGTTAAATATCTTCTCACCTCACACCTACCATTAGTCAAGCTCCTGTAAAGTGGGACACCTGAGTGTCTAAAAGGATCCCAGGAAGAATTATTTTTTTAAACAAATGCTAACCTTTTAATTTTGTGTGTATATTTGGACTTCCATATAAATGATTTGGTTAAGTTACATCTTCACACATCTTTATGGAAATTTGATAACATTTATGTTCTTACACTGAAATCAGTAACGAGTAAGAATTCTTGGTTGAAAGAAACTGGTTTAGGTACAAAGCTATGCTCTGGAAGCCTTTTCTGCAATTCCCTAAGGATGGCAATAAATGGATGTTGTCTCTAGAAAATGAAATTGCCTGTGGGTTCTCTTTGTCCTTTGTGGGGAAACCACCCCAATTTCCAAGTGTAATTTTGAGATTTTTTTGTTCAGTGAGTAAAATGTCTGGGAACTACTAAAAAAAAAACCATACTGAATTCTTGGGGCGCCTGGCTGGATCAGTGAGTAGAGCATGTGACTCTTGATCTCAGGGTTGTGAGTTTGAGCCCCACATTGGGTGTGGAGGTTATATAAAAATAAAATCTTTTTTTAAAGATTTTATTTATTTATTTGACAGAGAGAGACACAGTGAGAGAGGGAACACAAGCAGGGGGAGTGGGAGAGGGAGAAGCAGGCCTCCCGCTGAGCAGGGAGCCCGATGCGGGGCTCGATCCCAGGACCCTGGGATCGTGACCTGAGCCGAAGGCAGACGCTTAACGACTAAGCCACCCAGGCGCCCCAAAATAAAATCTTTAAAAAAAATGGGGGGTGCCTCAGTGGCTCAGTCAGTTAAGTGTCTGCCTTCAGCTCAGGTCAAGCTCTGCATCAGGCTCCTTGCTCGGTAGGGAACCTGCTTCTCCCTCTCCCTCTGCCTGCTGCTCCCCCTGCTTGTGCTGTCTCTCTCTCTGTCAAATAAATAAATGAAATCTTTAGAAAAAAATAACATAAATTTTTAAAACTATACTGAATTCTAAAGTGAGAGATTTGCACAGTGCACAATAGGGGCATTCATTATACATCATGCTGGGAGGTTCATACATTAAGCTTTCTCACTTTAGGAGGGGGCTCAGCAAACTTTTTCTGCAAAGGTTCAGAAAGTAAAAATATTTTAAGTTTTTGTGTGCCACATGGTCTCCGTCACAACTGTTCAGTTTTGCCATTGTATCTCAAAGAGAGCTGGAGATGACATGTAAACAAATGAACATCGTTGTATCCTAACCAAACTTTCATTACAAAAACAGACAGATGGCTAGGGTTGACCTACAAGCAGTAGTGTGCTGACGTCTAGGTCAGAATAGTGAGAGGTGGCTCGGGACTGGAACAGGCACCGAGAGCTTCCTGGAGGAGGCTAAGCCTCGTGGGCCAGGTGGGATCTGCCAGATCCCAGACAGAAAGGTGACGGAGGAAATGCTGTAACAACAGCCAGCAGCCATGGGCAGGAAACAGCTCCTGAAGCAGCCGGGAACCAGCAGAAGGAGGGCAGCACAGACATGTGCTTTTGCAAGCTATTGTTTGACAGACCAGAATCCGAATTTAGCCTCTGATTAAGATACGTATTTTAAAAGTGACATTCGGGTTTTGCAAAACCTCTCAAGACATCCTCAACAGCCACCTGCAGCACTCCCCCCTCCCCACTGCCTACCCTGGCCACCCGTCAGAAGTTCTGCCCCTGCCGTCAGCACATATATACATACAACATATGGAAGTCCAAATATATACACATAAAACTAGGAATGCTACCTCTGCCATGTACAGAACCCAAGCTCGGGCAGCAACTGCCACTCAGGGTGCAGCAGCTGCAGGACCCCTTCAACAAGCTGGGACCACCTGGAGCACCCCGCCCCCCCACCCCACGCCTGCCTCCCTTCCCCCTCCCCCACCCCCTCCCCCACCAAGGCAGTAAAGAAGGGAAAGAGGACAATAACAAGACGAGGCTAACACACAGATCCCCCATCCCCCAACCAGCTCTATACTTAAGGGTGTTCTTGCCAAAATACTTTTTGTTTTAAACTTTAGATCCAAATGTGGTTCCTACTCCCCCAAATTATTTTTATTTGAAAAAAAAAAGAACTGAGGTGCATGAGGGACAAGGGAAGAACACACTTAAGAAAGAACAAGCAATTAGCATTTGCTTTCTTTAAGTACCAAGACTGGGGCTCACGCAAACCAAATTAGAAAGAGATTAGCCTTGTTTAAATTTGGCTGTTGATAATAAATAAAAAATTACAACCTGGCAAATATTTGCTGAGAAGATCAAGACTGCTAAGGCTTAGCATCTGTGATAAGTTTAGAATGAAAGCTAGAAATGGAAAGATAAAAATAGAAAGGATGCAAGGAAATAAATATATAAACGGTCTGCCTCCAGTTCCAGAAAAGTCAACGAAATCAATTTGAGTCAGGTAAGCCAACAAAGCTAATAAGAGCTGGGCACAAGCATGAGGTAGGAAGGCGATGAGGCTGAAACAGTAAAAGAAATATTGAGAAGCCATTTGAAAAGAATTGTTAGGTCAAACTTTTCCCTTCGATATGAATCTGCAAACCTTCGGCATTTCAAAGGGGAGCTGAATATAGCCAACAGCAAGCAATAGAAGGAAAGCAAGTGCGAGCTAGAATGAGAACAAAGAGATTTACTGATCTGTTACTTAATAACGAATTTCCAGCATCAGTCCTGGGAATATAGATGGTCACATACATTTCCATTTGTTTCCCCTTGACCGCCCTGCCTGGGTGGCTCACTAGCCTGCGCTCTGAGTTCTCCACAGGTGCATGTAGGATTGCTACCCTGATGGCAGGTACCTCTGACTCTGGTCATCTCGAGCTTTCTCATTCCACTCTAGCCCCTAGCCCCAGGTCACTCTTTAAGGCAAATGTTTAAAAGTCAACTTCATCACAAAGTAAATGCTAATTTTATCCATTTTATTTCTATGATTAATAGCCAAAATACCAAGATCCAAGAAAAAGTAAGAAATTTCCTATTTTTCTCTGTAGCTAATAAGATTATATAATAAAAACCCATCTTGGGCGCCTAGGTGGCTCAGATGGTTAAGCGTCTGTCTTCGGCTCGGGTCATGATCCCAGGGTCCTGGGATCAAGTCCCACATCGGGCTCCCGGCTCAGCGGGGAGCCTGCTTCTCCCTCTGACCCTCTCCCCTCTCATGCTGTTTCTCTCTCGCTCGCTCTCTAAAAAATAAATAAAAATCTTTAAAAAAAAAAAAAAAAAACCATCTTTCAGAGGTCACTATGGGCCAGACACTTTTCTAAGGTTAATTAAGTGGTTTTTTCTTTTATGAATTAATCCACTTGATTCTCACAACAACTCCATGAGGTAGACACTATTATTATCCCCATTTACACATGAGGAAATTGAGGCTCAGAGAAATTAAGGTATGTGCCTAAAATCATGGGGCCAGGCTTAAAACCCAGTCAGTCTGGCTCAAGACTGGCTGTAGTCTTACTTGATTGGTATATACCAATGAAATAAAAAATGTATTCCAGAAACCAACTTATTTTCATATACCAAACTGAAATAAGCCTTGTAGGTATGTGTATTTATACATAGAAAATCGCATATACAATACATGTAATCATGGTACTTGCATGTATTTGTAGATCACATAAAGTACTTGCATATTTATTCACTTATTAATTCCTCTCAGTAAGACCAGAGATAGTGTTTGGGGCACTAGGAATGCATATATGTTTTTAAAAACTTTGAAATTTGACATTTGGAAAAATAAAAATTGTAGTCATGGGAAAAACAGAATGCATTGCCCTTCTTTGCCCTTGTCATGGATTAAGGTTTTTGTGTGTGAATTGTATATGAGAAGAATGACAGGAGGGTGTCCTGATCTTTTTAGGGCCTAGGATATATACCCATAATCATTTTACATCTATCTGTGGGTACACGTTTTAATATATATGTAATAGGTGTCATAGTTCAGCGTCCTAAAACTCTGCTCTGGCCCAAAATTAAAGTCTCTTAAGTACTTCACATTCTAGAGAAAGCCCCCAGCAGCTAGAGTTAGCCAGCTTATTAAGAGGCAGCAGAGGGGCACCTGGGTGGCTCAGTCGGTTAAGCAGCCAACTCTTGGTTTCAGCCTAGGCCATGATCTCATGGGTCGTGAGATCGAGCTCTGAGTCAGTCTCCATGCTCAGCGGGGAGTCTGCTTGAGGATTTTCTCTCTCCATGTCCCTATGCCTTTCCCCCTGCTCATGCATGTGCATGCGCTCTCTCTCTCTCAATTAAATAAATAAACCTTTAAAAAAAAAAAAAAAAGAGGCAGCAGAAATGGCCCTACCACTAAAAAAGTTCTGTCAGAGGCACCTGGCTGGAACATATGACTCTTGTTCTCAGGGCTGTAAATTCAAGCCCCACACTGGGTGTAGAGATTACTTCAAAATAAAATCTTTAAAAAAAAAATTCTGTCCTACCACCCTTCCCAACCCACGCCCAAACCTCACCCACCAGTCTAACAGGAAATAAGAGAGGCACAGGATTACGGGGAAGGCCAGTGTTTGAGGGAGAGGGCAGGTTCTTTCCCCTTCCCCCAGGAGGAGAGTAGGCTGCGCCATGACAATCATTTAGGAGGACTGCCCAGGAGAAGTGGGGCCTGGCATCATGTTTCCCAGCTGGATGTTGGCTGAGTGGCAGGACCCCAGGACCCCAGGACCCCCTGGTGTGGCCACCAGTAGAGAGACATGAGGGTACCTGGAAGCTAGGAGCATAGTGCTCTATGAGAGAGAAGAGGGGACCTTTGACATGCATCCTCTGACATTTGAGGTTCACATGAACATAGAGCCAGATGCCCAGTGAGCTCTAGAGATTTCTGTGAAATCGATGTGATGTGCCTGGGAGGAAAATGGAGAAGTCTTGTCCCATCTAGTTTTGCCTAACTCTCAGGAGGCAAAGGGGATCCCATCACTCCTG